CTAGAGGCCTGCAACCGTTTGCAATTTCATGTTCCGAGAAAAACGCGATCAAATTTGGGGGAAACTGGGCTTTTCCCCTATGCATGTTTGCGGCCCATAACCTCCCAAAACTGCAATTTTTTGAATTTTGGAAAGCGGTTTTCGCCATTCGACGCAGAAAAGAATGGTCTATAGTATAAACTAATAAAAAAAAGTTGCGTTTTTTATCATTTTTGAGTGATGTCCCCCCATAAGCTTGTTTTTTCCTTCTTTTTGGCAGGTGAACTGTCACTCTTTCGCATTGCAGTACTTAGAAATTTTTAAAGAAACACACGGTAATCTTTGACTAAAATTGAGGAGCATTGTTTTCCTCTAACGAATTGCTTCTAGTTCCTCGTACCCAAAACACACGCGACTTATCTCCTAATCTTTCAAACAATTTTATTTGCTAAAGGGGACAAATCGACATAACCCCAACGGGGAAAAACACCCGAGAGATAAGTCAACTTAGCTCATAGAGTGCATGAGTGTACAAGGGACAAGTCGACATGTCCCTAAAAACCTTAAGCTTCAGAGAGTTAAGTCGACTTAACTCTTTCAGCGCGTGAATGCGCAGAGATAAGTCGACATAGCTCCAAGTGCTCTCAGGTCCGGAAAGATAAGTCGAAAATAACTCGTTGGGTGCGTGAGTGAGCAGTGGGACAAGTCGACTTGTCTCGTTTTGACCGGTGCGACCAAACGAGATAAGTCAGAGTCTTGACATATCTACAAAACCCATTAACGCTTTGTTGAAATGACTTTTTCTACGTTGATCAGCATTGCAAAGCGAACAAGATGGCGCACCCGAAGTATAGAATATTATACGGGAACATGTTTTTCGCCTCTCCTGAAAAATCGTGTTTTTCGACTTATCCCCTTTTTCCGCTTCGCCACTGAATTGCCCTGAGAGAAGGGCAAAGTGGCATCTTGTGACTATGTTTCACAAGGGCAAGAAGGTGATGGAGGCATATTGCCCGCTCTTCACATCCGCCCTTGGGGATTGTGGAAGTAAAGACAAGAGCGAATTCCAGGGAATTCAAGCGAAAACCTGGAACCGTTTTTGCCGTGCAGGATCCCCTGACGTAAAATACAAATGTCGCCAGTGTTAAAAGTTAAGTTTCTAGCATGAGGGGATTCTTGGGAGCTCCAAAGACCTCTTCCACCCATTGGAACTTGTCTGCAATGCACGGCAGGCTCACAGAACACTTTGGAAAATAAAACGCAAAGTGGTCATGGCGCCCCACACCATGACCACCCCGTGGGGCACCTTGACCATAGTAATTTTTTGGCCCAAGAAGTGTACTTTCTATCTGTATTCTCATTGAAATCGTTTATATCGCTGTCCTTACCATCAGGCCAGTCAACTTAACTAAAAAAACACTCTCGAAACCTTCGAAGTTTCAAACGTTCTATGATGCCTTAAAATGGATGGTTTAAAACAGTTAACGCTCTAAGGCTTTCGAATTTCACTTCTCAAGCTATGACATGTGTTAACATTTTATGTTTGTCTTGCTAAGACGAATCCAAATTCGGATGCAGTTTTCAATTTGGTAAATTTTAAGAAAATTATCGCGGTTACTACACTGCAAACAAGTGAAATAAATGTTGTTTCTCATAATGCCAGAGCCGTCTTGGTGCAAAGTAGCGACGGATCGCTTTCGCGGCCAACTTTTGCGGTTTGGAGCTCATTTAGTGCTAAAGAAGCTACCATTTTAAGTCCCAGTTTCAGAACCATTCTTAATTATCCTGGTCATTCACGATTTGTGATAAAACTAGCTATTCTGCAGCAATTATTCAACCCTTATACATTTTCTAGAGCAAAAAGCAAATTTTCGACGAAAATAAATCATTATCAGACCAAAAAATGAGAAAAAAAACACTCAAATATGTATGGTCATGGTGCCCCACCAAAAAGTGGTCATGGCTCCACACAATGCAGTTTACGACTCGAAGGCTCCCCGAGCAAGCAAAAAGCTACTCAGAATTAAATGTGATAATGGATATTTTGCCAGAGAGCCGACATTTTGAAAAAAAATCCAGGACATCGAACTTTTTTTCTCAAATGAGAGAGTGAGAAAAAATACTCTACAAATCAAAGAGTGTACACAGTATGCTCTAACTGGAGCATGCCTGCAAGCACGCTCTAGCTAGCACATGCCTGCCAAGCATGAACTAACTAGAGCATACATGCCATGTACACGCTTCCTGATGCAGAAAACTCCCTATCCCTTATGCAGTAAATGTAAGTGCATGCCTGGCAGGCATGCGCTAGATAGAGCGTGCTTGCAGGCATGCTCCAGTTAGAGCGTACCATGTATACACTCTTTGATTTGTAGAGTATCCCAGATTTGAAATACGCCTAATTTAGCCAAAATGCAGGAACAAAAATTTTGGCGAGGTGCTATGGTCGTACTCTTGAAGCTAGAAGGTAGGATTCTGGCTGAAAATAGTTAGATCCTATTCTCTCGAAAGTCCGGTCGACCGGTTGCCGTCGGCAAAGTAGTTCCCGAGAGCGAGGGGGCTGGTCATGGTACCCCAGTGGTCATGGTTCCCCGCCCTCCCTTATCTGTGGATGCAAAACTATGAACAAAAAAATGCCACGAGAATTTAGTGTATAGTACGTCCGCATGTCGGCCATGACTGTTCCAATGTTCCTTACCTTCGTGGTTGTCTTCCTTAAAGACGTGGTATGCTGCTGCATGCGCCAGGACCATGTGTCTGATGCACGTATAACGCTGCACGTCGCTAGGGCTGTGCGGTTATTGGAATTCTAACCGAATAACCGGTTACCGAAATAACCGGATACTTTCCAGGTTAACCGGTTTGTCAAAATTAACCGGTTTTTAAAGAAAATCACAATAACCGGTTATTGCAATTTCACAAAATAACCGGTTAGTTTAAAAAAAAATGAAATTTTACGAAACAAATTGCGTGTAACACGATAGAATAATCGGGGCATTTAAAAAAATACAATTACCTTTGGATTATATACAGGTTTTTATTATCAAAATTAGAAATCTCCATATTAATTAAGTATATATGTGGTCTCCCGAAACAATGATGCAACTAAGCATGACGGAAAACCGGCTAACCGAAGGCCGGTTAACCGTATTTGCCGGTTATTCGGTTAACCTATACCGGAAAAGGCATTAACTTAACCGGCCGGTTAATGAAATAACCGAATGCAATAACCGGTTAACCGGTTAACCGCACAGCCCTACACGTCGCTGTCCGAATAGATTCCTGACACCTTGTAGAGGTTCGGGAAGTATATACAGTACACGTTGGGCTCGTTCACCGTCACCCAGAGCTTTACCTGATTTGAAACAAACGGATTTCGTCATTTAATCGTACAGCGTCAAAGAGAATGAAAAAGTCTTGGCCAATACCCAATTTTGGGTGCGGTATACTTTCCCACCCAAAGTTGGATTCACGGTAAAGACGGTTCCTGGTTTTCCCAGGAACTCCCTGGAAATCGCCTATGTCTCTACCATAGGGTTCCTGGGAAAACCAGGTAACGTTTTTACCGTGTTACTATCATTCACCCAAATTTTGGCGAGGAAGTTTTCATCACCCAATTTTGAGTGATAAAGGGAGTATCAGCTGCCTCTTTGGCCAGAGAGCATTTTCACTACAATTCGCGTGATGATGGTTTTTTTGTTCAAATTCGGGGGGACATAATAATTCCCACCCGAACTTGGGCGATGAAAAACACCTTTACAGGATAAAATTAGGGTGATATACGAAACAGGCAAAGAAGGCCTTCAAAACAACATGGTTTCACTGCGCGTACGATTTCAGAACTAGGACAGTTTTTAGCTTCTTTCCAATCGATACTTAACTTCTTTCACGAAAGGAAAATTTTCCCTGTTCAAAATACTTTTGCCAGAAATGATTGTACTGGGTGCACCAATCACAGACATTTCACCTACCTTTCCAGCATACTGATTGAAGACGAAGCGGGCGTATTCCGTGAACTTGGCAACCATCTCCTCTCCCTGCCATCCTTTGAACTGGTCCTCCAAAATTTGAGGGTGGTCGAAGTGGTACAAAGTTGCCTGCGAGCAATAATTTAACACTGTTACAAATATTTGAAAATTCAAACTGTTTCTTTACTGTTACTCCAAGTGTAATAGTGATCTCACTTCAGAAGTAACACAGTTTCTATTGCAGTAACTAGTGCGATTAAAAAGTTATCGCATTAAGAGCGCAATAAGTACTGAATGGCATTCACGTGATATCACATTATCGCACCCGACATGTGATAAATTGGACCGAAACCGGCCTGTACGTAACTTCTTGCGTTTTTAGCACGATTATGTTTATTGCTGCCACAGATGCGATAGTTTGAAGACCTCCCATTAACCTCTATCCCTTACTCAAAGGGATACTTTGCAGCCCTCTGACAATGGGACTGTCCCTATCCAAAGGGACTGGCCCTTCTATGGGGACCGTCCCCATACGGCGGGGCGGCGAAATATTCCTTGAGTAAGGGACGTTAGGGATTTTCTCCCAAGGCCTTGGGAAGATACAGTTTCGCCGAGCAACCTAAATATTGAAATCCGAGACAATATATGGTGCTCCCCTGCTCAAGCTTACCAACGGCGTCATGTTGTTTCGGAGAATCTCGTCGATGAGGTCGTGGTAGTACTGGACGCCCTCCCTGTTGGGGTTGGCGGCGTTCGTGTCGGGCAGGACGCGAGGCCACGAGATGGAGAATCGGTACATCGAAAGCTGATGCAGACGGTTCAGGCAAATCAATCAGCAGCGAGGGGGCAACCACATTGTACGTATCGGGACACAAGATTTCCTAAGGGCTAAAGATTTCGTTGGATTTCACAAGATTTTAACCTATATTCTGCTCAAAATTAGCTTATTTTTTAGCCTTTTTGGAGCAAGATTTCAGATTTCCTAGAGATTTCTAGCGCTAAGGGGACACAAGATTTCTAGAGTGGTTGCCCCATCGATCAGCAGTAACCCTTCGGAACCGTCTCAACCAGGGGTGGCGACGTCACTGTCGTTATTTGGGCGGAACACTGGTAGTACGCCCAATTCACGCATTTCAATACGCTTGAAAATTGAACGGGTGAAGTCAATCGTTGACAATAAATAATACCATAGGTATGGGTGTAGGTAAATAAGCTATGTTTAATTTAATATATTAATTAAGGACTTTGTTCCTGCATTGTGCTACAACGTTTCAATTAATTGGTACAAATTTTATGAAACGTTCACCCGCCCAAATACGGCAGTAGTTATGTACAAAAAATGCTAATACATTTAGTGCGCGCCACTGTTTCCAAGGCAACAGTTTCCAATAGGTCACCAATCGAAGACCTTACCGCGAGTCACTAATATAACTTTGCATCAAGTGAACCCTCCTTTGAAGCCCCTAGTGCAACTTGCGATGACTTGCCTTAAGTTCCTTTGCCATCGCGATGTCTTCCTTATACCGGTAGTACGAGTTCGCCGCCACGTCGTGGCCGTGGGGGTCCCCGAAGCCCATCGAACTCAATCTGCCCAGATGCAGCACGTGGTCAGCAGCGCTTTCAGCTTTGCCTGCAACAAGAAGTTGAGGATCAACATTTGCCTTCTGCACTGTACGAAATGAATTCGGAATTAACAACCGTTCACCTCTCGAAAAATACCCTACAAACCTTTGGGAATTCCTGGCATTATTTTTTTATCACGGATTTATTGCACTTTCAAAGTGGAATAATATTTGAACAAAGTATAATGGAACCGGCAAGACGAGTGCACCCCGCCTCGTGGCCTCGTACTTTGAACACGCACTAAATGTCATGGGACATTGTTTGTCCCACGACTTATGCAATTTCGAGCACATCCGACGGAGACACAATTTTGTTCCCGCCTGGTGACACACAATGTCCGACGCCTTCTGCGAATTGTTCTTTCATTAGACAATTAGTCCCGCCCAACGGACACAAAATTGCATCATCGGCTGATGTGCTTAAAATTGCATAACTCGTGGGACAAAAATGTCCCATGACATTAAGGGTGCAAGTCTCGTGGTACCTTCTACAAGCCTCGTTTAACCTTTTTTACTTTTGGTTACAAGTTACTTTTGATGTACTATTCACTTTTTCTTGCAGTGCTCCTCGAGTGAAACCGTTGCCAAGGATTTCTTTGTAATTTCACGAAGATTATTGGTTCAAAGCAAAGAATCTTCGTAAATTTTCGAAGAATCTTTGTGAGGCTACGACTACGACGATTGTTGTAACATTTTAGATGAATCTCCTAAATGTCCTAGGAATCTTCGTAAACTACAGAGCAATTTTATCAATTTAGCTATCAGCTTAATTATTATTGCCAGATAGTCAGGGCTGTAAGCGGTTGAACCTTGCACTTTCTGACCCCGGTCTGGCGCTTTGCACGGGTCTTCTAGAGACCCAAAATAACGATTTGAGAGTTGGAGGCACCCTGGGGAACGCTGCAGGGACCGGTGGGAAGCAAAAATCTACCTTTTGTAGGAAAAATTCCTATTTAACGCCTAAAAATCACCCGAAATCGCCGCTGCATGCGTTTATCTTGTCAAATGTGGACCCGTTTCTGTCTTCTTGGCTTTACAAATTTTGCTTCAACATGGACCTTCACTTACCAAGGCGTAGAAGAGTGTCATATTGTCCTTGGGGAAATATCTTTCAGAATTGTGTACACCCAAATTAGCGTGAATGTCTTTGAGGTTGCTCGGAGTTCCAAGTCATGTCTTTTGATGAATGTTAGAGTTGTTGCTTGTTTTCTCGGGCCGTTCCCTTATCGAAACTGACACAGTTGACTCAAAACGCATCCTAAGAGAAGGATCATAATTGTTTGTGCTGCGCGAGAAATATTGTAATGTAAGCTCTGAGGGTAGGTAACTGAAGAGAAGACGTAGATGTTAACTGATTAAATGATGCTAAGACAGGATCCAATAGTCTAGGGAGTGCTGAGAAATTCTCTAGAAATCGAAAAGCGTACATTGAATGCTGTCGCTGCAGCATGCCTGCAAGCGTGCTCTAGCTAGCGCATGCATGTCAAGCATGCACCAACAAGTGCATACCTGCCATACGCTTCCTGGAGCTGACAAGTCTCTATCCCTCATGCACTAGATGTATGCTCCAGTTAGTGTGTACATGGCAGGTATGCACTTGCTCGTGCGTGCTTGCAGGCATGCTCCAGCTAGAGCATACAATGTACGCATGTCGTTTTGAAGAGATACACACTTCTATGGGAAAGCGCTTGGAAAAGCATAGAGTACTTGCATCGGCGCTCTTGAAGAAAACGCTTGGAACCCACGCGCTCCCAGAGATCCGTACTTGTCTTCGTCAACTATGGAAGTGTCCCTGTAACGGCACACACACCGGTGTACCAAGCAAACATTTTACCATTTGAACATTCTGTTGAACGGTTGGCAAAAACAAAACCCATTTCCTAAATCAATTTACATGGGCACTTTTCATGCACCCATTTAATTTAGTCCAACCCATTCTTACGGGTGCAACCCGTAACCTAAGTAATGGGTGTCTGAAAAGTATTCATTTGTATGGATTGCACCCATAATGGGTCTAAACCATTACAAAGTGTCCAAACTCGGACAAGGCTTGTCATTATTTCTTTTTCAAAGAAGGTTTGTCAACCGTGATGGTCGTCACAAACGTAACTTTCGGCGCTTAACACAATGGTAGTTTACAAGTTACCCCTAAACTACCATTGTGTTAAGCGCCGAAAGTTACGTTTGTGACGACCATCACGGTTGACAAACCTTCTTTGAAAAAGAAATAATGACAAGCCTTGTCCGAGTTTGGACACTTTTGACACATTTTGACAGTTTTGACACATTTAGACCCTTTATGGGTGCAATCCATACGGACGGTATGTCATGTTGTGCAATGCAAGCATGGCAGTTACCGGGCCCGAACGGCAAAGGATCATTTGTGGTCTAGCCTCTCAAGTTCAAGTAATTGGTCGGTTGGTAGCGGGTTTGCCTACCTTTGCATCACACTTTTGCCTAACCTAGCAGGCGTTTCTTAAGCGAACCCAAAGAGCTGGGTCTCAATGGGTCCTAACCCATCCAGGATTAAATGGATCAGAACCCATGGTCGAATGGGTTTTGTCTGCTATGGAATGAAGAAAAAAAAAAAAAAAAAAAGAAACAAAGAAAAAAAAACAACTGTACTTACAAGCTGTCAAGCAAAATAAAAAAGTTCCGCCAAGGCAAGCTTAGCAAAGCGGTCTTGCCGTGGACCGGCCGGGGAGGCCGGGCAGAGAGGGGGCAAGGAGGGAGGGGGTGGCTGTGAGGAGTGGGGACTGGCGCGGCGCGGCGTGGCGGCGCAGGACGACGACAGACGACGACGACGACGACGACCAACACGACCATGCAGTCCCCTCCCAGCGCGCTGAATGGATGGATGGATGGGTGAGCGATTCTCACGTTTCGGGGTAGTTTCGTTTCTTCTGACTCCTGTGCCCAAACGAGCGCAGATATCGACATGGGGTTTGTTTCTGATGTTAGGGAGGGCCATTGCCCACTAAACGCACATATTTCGAAAAGTTCACGTACGTTGGTTTGGTCTACGTAGCGTTTGGAATACCCTAAATGTAACTTCCGTGATTGTCCTAAGAGAACATACTCGAACTTTCCGCCCCCCGTGTGGCGGTGTGGTTCGAAAATGCTGCCAACTGTCGATGGGGATTCGAAGCTTGGCATGTCTCGAGCTAATTTCGACCGAAGACCAATACGCCAGACTTCTTTCAAAGGTACTTATGCTGCAACGAAAAATGTCCTCCGTATATTCAATTTCACTACACAAATTTCGAAAAGGCAGCTCTGGACCTCTCCCCAAGCCAAACTTTAAACTTTCCATGACACAAGCCATCAAAGTGGAGTCCCTGGGATATAATTGCATGGGTCGCGGAAATTTAAGATGCTGTACACGGTCTCAAAGCGGGCTAGAGCATTATAAAATGGCGTGTATCAACAATTACCTGTAACTTCCGTGGCACCCTTTACCCAATGTTGCAGCAGCACTAGGTGAAAAAAAATTTCCGCTTAAATGTCGGGCTTAGAGTATCATTTGACCCTGGAACGACTTTTAGGCCACAGCAAGCCCGAGTCAGCCGTTAAAGCCGATTTTCACACTTTGTAACTTCCGTGATAACGTAATTTCCGTGATCAAAACACCCACTAAAACGCATGGCAATACCTTATGGCTCATGTTTTTAGGAAGGTAGTACAAGGTCTTCACTATAAATACCATTGCCATAACTCTGGTATCATCCAGGACCCCAATAATCAGAAAAACTTAATTGGATATTTCTCACTTTCGGCAAATCAGAGACGCCAAAACTACCCCGAAACGTGAGAATCGCTCGGGTGGATGGATGGGATGAGTGGGATCGTATGCAGAGCTAGAAGCGGTAGCAAGACCGCTTAAAAACTGCATTATTTCCCGGGCCTCGTCAATTTGGCACTGCCAATCCAAGTGTGAGACAGTCTCACACTTGTAGGTATGGGACATTTTTGTCTCACGCTTGCAAGTGTGAGCAACGTTTGTCTCTCGCCTGCAAGTGTGGGACAACGAAGTCGCACACTTCCAAGTGTGAGACACAGCTTGTCCCACACTTGCTGCCTATGCTAGATTTGTGGTTCAATGCCACGGGTCCAGCGCCTGCAAGTGTAGGACAAACCGTGTCTCACACTTGCAAGTGTAAGACATCGATGTCTCACACTTTCCAGCGTGAGACAAACGTGGCTCACACATGTAAGCGTGAGAAAAATGTCTCACACCTATAGTCTCACACTTGGATTGGCCGTGTGCAAAGCCGTGTGCCATCCTTCAGAAGAATAAAATATTTTTACTGTTTTCTCCACCTTGCGACAGTACGCACTTGTAGTTTCTGAACCAGAAGAGTTGCCGTTACCAAACTGTGTCAAAAGGATTTCATAAAAAAGTGGCGACAGACATGGGCGTCTTTCATCAAAGTAAAATGAAAGAGTTCAACCCTTACCACACCAGAAAGGTGATAACAATATTTCTCGCGCAGCAAAAACATTATGATACTTCTCTAAGGGTGCGCTTCGTGCCAACTGTGTCAGTTTCGATAAGTGTTCGACCCCAGAAAACAAGCATCAACCCCAACACACATCAAGAGAAATGACTTTGAACTTTCAGGCACCTCAAAGACATTGTAGCTAATTTTGGTGTGCTCATTAGTCAAAGATATTTCCTCAATGACATAATGACACTCTTCTACGTCTTGGTTACTGAAGGTCGATGATGAAGCAGAATTTGTAAAGCCAAAAAGACAGAAAAGGGTCCACATATGACTAGATATGCGCATGCAGCGGCGATTTCGGGAAATGGTAAGGCGTTTCATACGAATTTTTCCTACAAAAAGTAGATTTTCGCTTCCCAGCGGTTCCTGCAGCGTTTCCCAGAGTGCCTCCAACTCTAAAATCGTTATTTTGGGTCTCTAGAACACCCGTGCAAAGCGCCAGACCGGGGTCAGAAAGTGCAAGGTTGGTTCCAAATCTGTCGCTTACAGCCCTGACTAAGACGAACCTTCGTAAATTCCGAAGATTTATTCTTTCAAAGTGTGTTAGAGCCTTTCAGTAATAACTAATTACTGTGTTTTTTTTAAGCTCTGCTTGAAGTACTGATGACATGTTTTGAAAAACGAACTTCTTGGCATCGAAATCTCAATATGAACACTGAAAACTCAAAGGGGAGAAAAGGACTGGGTCAGAAGAAAATCCCACCTTCATGCGGGGAGAATCATGCGAGAATGTTTTCCCACTTCACATCGCTTGGCTTACCATTCATGCCAAAATTTGGTGAGAATTATGACTCTCACCAGAAAACGGTAACTGGGCCAGGACTTTCACCCTTCAATTTACAAAGCAATGTCCTTAGATTTAACATAATGACTTACCTGACACATTCCAAGCGCCCTCTGTCTGGAATGCTGACACGCCAGCCCCGATCAGCATACCGTCGGGAAGTGCAAACGGATCCGTGGATGAGCCACTCGTGGAGCGGCTATGCACCACTCCCACCGTGCATGCCACCAAGATCAGAAGGTGAATCATCTTTTCCTTAAGGGGGGACCCTGGTGAAAAAATCGCCAAAATTCCAATAAATTGTATTTTCAAAGTTCATAGATAAAAATGTGCATAGAAGGTTTCAGATTCAACAGGTTGAACACCTTTAAGCTAAGTGGGTAGTTTCTTTATCATTTGGTAGGAAATAACATTGAGATCAGTTGTCGTTGGCTTCTACGCTCAACTTCACAGCTTTGCTCAGTCGACAAAAAATTTTGTCGTAGAAAGACTTCCTGCGTTCCTGGTTGACACCTACATGAGTCGTCTTGCATGGATTCTATTCATTGATGACTTGTCGACAAATTTTAGTGACGGAATCTTGATATCAGCCCTCCTTTTTTTAAAACACACCTTAAAGTTTGAAAAAAGGGAAAAATATCACTTTTTTTTAAATGTTAAAATTTGAAAACTCATATCTCGGGACAGAAGTTGAATTTGAAAATTCCGTCACTAAAATCTCTTCTAAACATCTTAAGGATAACCCAAAAAAATTTTCAAGACTTTCCGTCCCAATGAAAGACGCAGGAAGATTTTTCCCCAACGCTCCAAAAAACACTAAAAAGCCACTTTTCTCAGAGACCGTTTAACATTTTGGATTGAATTTTGTTTTGGGAACTCACTATAATGAACCTAATAATTAAGCAAAGTTTCAACTTCCTGGGATTATTTTGAAGCCTACTTGGAAGTTTCACCAGGGTCCCCCCTTAAACGCACAGAACAAACAAAGATTAGTTTTCTTGTTTAGTTTTCATCAAGGTTAGGTTAAGTCAGGTTGACCATCTTATAAAATACGCGTTAAAATTTTTGTTTTTGAAGATTTTGTGTTAAGGGGATTCACATTCATATTTCGATACTTAAAATACTTCTTTGTGCTGGTAGCATGATCCTGGACGGCATGGAACAGTCACTTTTCCATTTCATCAAAAAAAGCTAAAATTTCATCTTGAGCGCTAAGTTTCTTCGACAAGAATTAAGACCAGACCTCCAAAAAATTCGGTAAGCTTCACTTCAGCCATCTGTATAGTCCAAACCAAATATATATACCATTAACTTAAAACAGCCAAATAAAAAAAATACGATTTCAAGAAATCCTAGGAGTCACGAAGTCAGTTTGATTATTGTGCAAGAGTGTGGAGAAAGAAAAGAAAAGGTTTTGTGAAGTTGTGGCTCAGGGGACTACCAATGGCAGTGGTACCAATCTGGTCGATGTGCCACCCGTCAAAATTTAAACTTGACAATAGAAATCAAAATGCTGGTAAATTCAAAAAATTCCAATGCTAATGTATTCCGCAGTGTTCTAACAATGGAACATCTTTAACACTAGAACCGCGGAGGGGGTCAATTTGACCCCTTTTAATTTTCGTCATAAATTTTTCTGACTTATTTTTTTCTTCTCGGATTTGGGGCTTTTTGACTTTTTATTAATACCAGAAAAGAACATTTGAGTGAAATTTCGGCGCTGTCGGACCATTTTTGTGGGCGTAGGACAACAATATACCTAGAACCGCGGCAGGGGTCATTTTGACCCCTGTATTGTTTGCACTCAGGAAGTTCGAATTTTGGCTATAAAAAAGCGTCACAAGCGTCAATTTTAGTGGTGAATCATTTGGGAGTGCTATGGACTGCCCTCGGAGACCTAACTTGGCCGGCCAACGGCATAGGCGACCCGCCGAGCAAACGCCCAAATGTATGCAAGATGCGTGTGTTCCGCGTAAGGTATCTGTAGAATAAAAAAATCTCATTCAACGCACGTCAATGAAAGCAGATGATTTGGTTTTCTTCGAGGTAGCAGTTCGGGCTTTTTTATAACTGTGTATGAAATAAATAGATAGCCCAATAATATACATGGACCTAAGCGAGCTGGCCAACGTCGGTGCGAGCCGAGCTGTGGCTTGCACCGGCCGAACCGTGAGACATTGTTGCTGTTCTGTGCGCGCTGTACCCGGGGACATGGGATTGTTGGCCGGTGCCACTCGCGCTGTACCCTCGAGGTATTGTCGATGCTTCACGCAGACTGCATGCCATGCGACACTCACGATCCCGCCCGGCAGCCACCACTCTAATATTGTTGTATTATTGTAAAGATACCGCTTGGTTTCTGGACTCAGCAGTAAAAGCACCCTAACACCTTTATGTGTCTAATAGTTTTAGATACGTTTCAAGTGTAAAGGTGTCACCTGGTAAAAAAATCTACGTCGCTTTGTACCCATCCCCACACTGAATAACAGGAAAAGTTGCGATACACATCGGCAACTTTGGCCCGTCCCGTGCATTGAGGAATGTACTAATTTCACCTTTTTTTTAATCCGGACGGGACTTGAACCTGAGTCTGGGGTCAAAATAGATGTTTTTAGATCTGCATAGATCAGCATAAAATAGATCAGCACCCTCATACACATCAACAACAATGCAAAAACCCGAATAAAAAGAATGTTCTAAATGTACCCCACTAAGATTTGAACCCGGGTTCAAACCTCTCCGATTCGCTTGAAACTGGCACCGTTGGTTTTGTCTCGTCGCCCCGATTCCAAAAATTTCCCTTCATGCTCTTCTAGCTGTATCCGTTGCCGAAATCCTCCTCGACCTAAGGTAGACCATGATGCACCTGCAGCAGCGCCCCCGGGGCTCGGATCGGATTTGCTGCCAGCGGGCGGTTCTTAAGGGTCACCCAAGGAGGCTGCATATCAAATTTGGTCAAGATCGGACCACGGGAAGTCCTCAGACGGGCGAACGAACGGACGGACGCACAGCATGGATCACACTCCGTCCCTCCGTCATTTTTTTAACAAAAAAATACACGGGACGGGCCAAAAATGGTAGAAACTGAGCAAAACAGGTTATTCGTGCCTTGCGGGTTGCCTACCTTTGGCCTTTTAAGGCCCTATATAATTCAAAATATCATTGTTGATCTCAGATACATCATTTTACATCGTTAAGGGCCCATAACATGATCAAAATATAAAAAATACGGGCAGAAAAAATGGGGGGGTCAAAATGACCCCTTCCGCGGTTCTAGGTATACGAAAAAGTCAGCGGTTCTAGTGTTAAAGTCCATCATTATTAAAATGTTCTTGGCAGAAACAAGGCAGTAAATTAATTTTCACGGGTTGGCAACTAGTTTCTCGGCGTCTGCGCCCTTGCGAAAATCGCGAAGCTGAAAGCACCAGCAGTCGCGCATTAAAACTGCCCATCCATTGTTGCTGACGTTGAAATGTTTGGCTTGTTTCAAAAGGCTGTGGTTCTCTAATCATGTTTTCTTCAATTCTGTGTAATAGTTCTCCCTTACAACGTATCAACACCACGACGGTTGGTTTGACAAACTTCATAAACTCGGAGGGATGGTTTCGAAACGCGGGTGAGTCTTGTTCGAGGAACATGAGCACTGCAAGTCGCGAGGTGGAGCGAAGTGGTCCTAGTGCTAACTGAATCACAACAACAACAAAATTGTTTTATTGGCAGAAAAAAAAAGGAATATTTGAGAAACTATATGTCAGAAAAAAAGAACTTTTGTTTTGCTAATTTTCTGTGAATATTTTTTCAGAAAGTCATCACACAAAAATTGAAAATTTGTTTTATATGAATTGTCATAAGCAGGAAACAAAGAAAAAACAAGAAAGAGAGCAAAATTAATACAGATTTCAAATGCTACAGTTGGCTAAACTGTTAAACAGGTTGCAAACCTACTGCGCATGTCCAAAAACACTCCAATCAAGAAGTATTATTGGATAGTTCTACCCGAAAAACTGCGTTCGAACCGACACCAATTCTATTGTTGCATCTTGTCTACCTGCAGTCAAAGAAATTTTTCATTTCGAACGTGCTGATTTCTGCTTTTGGAGTAAGCTGTACAGACCCAAAAAGAAGCTCGGCTATTGGTCCGCCCCGGCTCGGCTCCCCCCACTCCCTTTTTTTTCCTTTGACGAGTCGAGTTTTGCCATGGAAACGGCGATTTTGACAGCAAATTTCTCAAAATTGGCCACCAACTTTTTAACCAGATTTCAGCATGAGAATCAGCGTTCAAAGTTCTACAAGTCTGCAAAGTCTCATTAAAATCGTATAGAAAATTTCCGAATTGCATAAAGGGCCACACAAATTGAATCTCGGGCCGGCTGAATCCTGGGTATACTATAAGGCTACTTCGTGCCTAAAAACCAAGTTCTGCTGTTTTAAAGTTTGTTTTATTATTATTTTTATTATTTGGCTGTTTTAAGTTTCTGGTATATATTTTTTGTTCGGACTATACAGATGGCTGAAATGAAGCGTTCCTAATTTTTTGGAGGTCTGGTCTCAATTCTTGTCAAAGAAACTTTGAGCGCAAGATGGAATTTTAGCTAGAAAAGTGACTGTTCCATGCCATCCAGGATCATGCTCATGCTCATGCTATCAGTACCAATAAGTATTTTGAGTAACAAAATATGAATATACCCAAAACACCAAATCTTAAAAAACAAATTTTTTTACGGGCATTTTATAAGATGGGCAACCTAACCTAACCGAGATGTAAGGCCCTTAGACCTTTGGGGCTTTGGAGGTAACTGTACCAAGACCTCGAATGTCTGGATAAATAGCCACATTATACTTCGGGACCAACTTCACATGCAATCGAAGTTTCTCATTGATATTAGCTTTGAACGAAGATACTTCGCTGTCCGTGGACTCCGCCGGCCACAGTGTGTGTCAATGTACCGTCAAACTCACCTCACAAGTGCGGCGCAGAACTATCTGAAGTGAATGGAGTCGTCTGCGGTCCATCCATTATATGCAGGCTCAGGTCTTCAGTACATCAATGTTTCGCAATTGCTACCGATATAAATCCTCGCGAAATTCTACGAGTGGTTCCATGAAATTGGTTATCTACCGGCTGTCTGGGCAGGGTGCGTTCAAGTGAGGATCGTCTCGTGGACATAATCATCGCACTTGGCCTCATCTCCTCAGTACACTGCACTGTGAAACATGACACGCATGGCAGTCATGGCTGCGTGCAATAGCGGGACCGCGTCACTTGAGCGGAGGCTTCATCTGAGCGGGTTTTCGTTTGAGCGGGGGCTCTTCAATCGTGGCCTTTGATTCTCAGTGCACTGAAAATCTATCGGCGAGACTTCGTGCCGCTGCAGGGGTGTGAATTAAGTGTCACGCCATTAAACGGCATGACAGAAAAGTCACGCCAAAAATCGGCGTGACTGAAAAATTCACGCCAATTTTTGGCGTGAATTTCTTGTCATGCCGCTTTTCGGCGTGACTTGTCTCATAAAGCGCGTTGACATTCACGCCAAATGAGGACGTGACTCACATGTCACGCCGGTTTTCGGCGTGAATTTCGTGTCACGCCAGTTTTTGGAGTGACATTTTGTCACGCCATAATTTGGCCATGTGTCCGACCATTACGTTTTCAGTGTGGTAAACCAATCGACGTAATTCATCATCAAACGAACGGCAATAACGATCCCTTCGGAGTGCTGTACGAAATTGCTGTTCAGCTCAATGTTATGAGCTTCAAAATCGATAAAAAGGCAAGGTGGACCGAAAATCGATGAGGCATTTTGCCACCCCTGTGGCAAAAAGTTACGGAGAAGTCTGATAACGTCTAGTGATAACTCTCCGCAACCAGAACCCTCCATTTCCCGTACCATTCTTGTCTACCTTCTCCGTATAATGAAGCCTTGCTAGGAGCAGTTGCCAAAATTCGGGGCACTTTTGAAGGCCATAGAACCACAAGAGGAAAATGTGGAAAAGTCGGCTTTTTTCTCGGCCAATTTATTCAGTGATGTCCCACGACTTATATCTGAACGCAGTCGAGCTCCCGGTGCAACATTGCAGACAGACCAAAAAGCCCCTATCAAAAGTATAGGGGAAAGACAAGGAACGTTACAGAAAACAGCGGGATACGGAACGTTACATTTTCATTCAAACAGGCCTAGTAACTCTCTTGCTATGAATTAAAACACGCCATTTGGTGTGAGCACCTGTTTTAAGATTCGTCAACACGTCCCGAAAGAATCATATCTCTGTTTGGTCTAGAACTTGCCCGGGGAACAGAAAAGCATTTTAAAATCATGGTCGGACACCGGTAGGGCACCTGAAAGAATTTAGGAGCCGAGTGACGTCACCGATTTCGACCGTTTTTTGTTGAGAAGGCCTCTGGTTTGAGTTGTGGATAACCGACAGAACCTACTCCTTCTTGCTAGACGGGTGATTTGTAATAATTTAGTCTTTAAGTTATTATCATTCTAAGATGAAGAAGGCTGGAGGCTGCAAGCGACGCGCTGAGCGATCCGCCACCAGAGCGCGCGGACCACTCGATGGGCCCTAGGAACAAAGACCAGGTCCGTGAAGGAAGCCCGCCCACACACAGCCTGCAACAAATTTCCTTCTGCAATCGTTAGTATATCGTTAGTACATGATTGTAGACCCAATGCGGCCGTTAGTATACACACCCAAGTGCGTTTTAAAAAAATACCCAAAAGGCGGGCCACATTCACATGTTCAGTTACTTCCAAAAAAAACGTGCCAAAAGAGAAAACGTCCTAAAATCGTTAGTAGACGTTAGTAGAGGCCATCTCGTCACTATCAACATCATTCACTATCACCACGGCCGCAGTCTTGCACCAGCGAGGCCGGGCCAGGTTCCAAAAAGCAAATACTGATCAAATAACACTAAAGAAGTGTTTGTTCCGTTCAATTGCGTTAGTAGACGTTAGTAGAGGCCATATGGTCACTATCAACATCATCACTAACACAGAGAACGTGGTATTGCTTTAGTGAGGCTAGGCCAGGTTCCAAAATGCTAATACCGATCAAATAACACCAACAAAGTCTTTGTTCCGTTCAATTGCGTTAGTAGACGTTAGTAGAGGCCATATGGTCACTATCAACATCATCACTAACACACCGTTCGTAGTATTGCTTAAGCGAGGCTGGGCCAGGTTCCAAAAAGCAAATACCAATCAAACGACATTATTTAAGTGTTTGTTCCGTTCAATAGCGTTAGTACACGTGACGCCATATGGTCACTATCAACATCATCACTAACGTAGAGAACGTGGTATTGCTTAAGCGCGGCTGGGCCAGGTTCCAAAAAGCAAATACTGATCAAAGAACACAAACCAAGTGTTTGTTCTGTCCAAAAGCGTTAGTAGACGTTAGTAGAGGCCACATGGTCACTTTCACCATGACTTCTAACACACAGTATGTGGAATTGCTTTAGCGTAGCTGGGCCAGGTTCCAAAAAGCAAATACCAATCAAACGACATTATTAAAGTGTTTGTTCCGTTCAATAGCGTTAGTACACGTTAGAAGAGGCCATATGGTCACTATCAACATCATCACTAACACACCGTTCGTAGTATTGCTTAAGCGAAGCTGGGCCAGGTTCCAGAAAGCAAATACCAATCAAACGACATTATTTAAGTGTTTGTTCCGTTCAATAGCGTTAGTACACGTAAGTAGACGCCATATGGTCACTATCAACATCATCACTAACGCAGAGAACGTGGTATTGCTTTAGCGCGGCTGGGCCAGGTTTAAAAAAGCAAATACTGATCAAAGAACACCAACGAAGTGTTTGTTCCGTCCAAAAGCGTTAGTAGACGTTAGTAGAGGCCATATTGTCACTATCAACATCATCACTAACACAGAGAACGTGGTATTGCTTTAGCGCGGCTGGGCCAGGTTTCAAAAAGCAAAAACTGATCAAATAAAAACAAAGACGTGTTTGTTCCGTTCAATTGCGTTAGTAGACGTTAGCAGAGGCCATATGGTCACTATCAACATCATCAGTAAACCAGAGAACGTGGTATTGCTTAACACTAGAACCGCTGACTTTTTCGTATACCTAGAACCGCGGAAGGGGTCATTTTGACCCCCCCATTTTTTCTGCCCGTATTTTTTATATTTTGATCATGTTATGGGCCCTTAACGATGTAAAATGATGTATCTGAGATCAACAATGATATTTTGAATTATATAGGGCCTTAAAAGGCCAAAGGTAGGCAACCCGCAAGGCACGAATAACCTGTTTTGCTCAGTTTCTACCATTTTTGGCCCGTCCCGTGTATTTTTTTGTTAAAAAAATGACGGAGGGACGGAGTGTGATCCATGCTGTGCGTCCGTCCGTTCGTTCGCCCGTCTGAGGACTTCCCGTGGTCCGATCTTGACCAAATTTGATATGCAGCCTCCTTGGGTGACCCTTAAGAACCGCCCGCTGGCAGCAAATCCGATCCGAGCCCCGGGGGCGCTGCTGCAGGTGCATCATGGTCTACCTTAGGTCGAGGAGGATTTCGGCAACGGATACAGCTAGAAGAGCATGAAGGGAAATTTTTGGAATCGGGGCGACGAGACAAAACCAACGGTGCCAGTTTCAAGCGAATCGGAGAGGTTTGAACCCGGGTTCAAATCTTAGTGGGGTACATTTAGAACATTCTTTTTATTCGGGTTTTTGCATTGTTGTTGATGTGTATGAGGGTGCTGATCTATTTTATGCTGATCTATGCAGATCTAAAAACATCTATTTTGACCCCAGACTCAGGTTCAAGTCCCGTCCGGATTAAAAAAAGGTGAAATTAGTACATTCCTCAATGCACGGGACGGGCCAAAGTTGCCGATGTGTATCGCAATTTTTCTGTTATTCAGTGTGGGGATGGGTACAAAGCGACGTAGATTTTTTTACCAGGTGACACCTTTACACTTGAAACGTATCTAAACTATTAGACACATAAAGGTTTTTAGGGTGCTTTTACTGCTGAGTCCAAAAACCCAAAGCGGTATCTTTACAATAATACAACAATATTAGAGTGGTGGCTGCCGGGGGGGATCGTGAGTGTCGCATGGCATGCAGTCTGCGTGAAGCATCGACAATACCTCGGGGGTACAGCGCGAGTGGCACCGGCCAACAATCCCATGCCCCCGGGGTACAGCGCGCACAGAACAGCAACAATGTCTCACGGTTGGGCCCGGGTGCAAGCCACAGCTCGGCTCGCACCGACGTTGGCCACTCGCTTAGGTCCTGTATATTATTGGGCTATCTATTTATTTCATACACAGTTAAAAAAAAGCCCGAACTGCTACCTCGAAGAAAACCAAATCATCTGCTTTCATTGACGTGCGTTGAATGAGATTTTTTTATTCTACAGATACCTTACGCGGAACACACGCATCTTGCATACATTTGGGCGTTTGCTCGGCGGGTCGCCTATGCCGTTGGCCGGCCAAGTTAGGTCTCCGAGGGCAGTCCATAGCACTCCCAAATGATTCACCACTAAAATTGACGCTTGTGACGCTTTTTTATAGCCAAAATTCGAACTTCCTGAGTGCAAACAATACAGGGGTCAAAATGACCCCTGCCGCGGTTCTAGGTATATTGTTGTCCTACGCCCACAAAAATGGTCCGACAGCGCCAAAATTTTCACTCAAATGTTTTTTTCTGGTATTAATAAAAAGTCAAAAACCCCCAAATCCGAGAAGAAAAAAATAAGTCAGAAAAATTTATGACGAAAATTAAAAGGGGTCAAATTGACCCCCTCCGCGGTTCTAGTGTTAAGCGAGGCTGGGCCAGGTTCCAAAAAGCAAATACCAATCGAATGGCATAAACTTAGTGTTTGTTCTGTTCAATTGCGTTAGTAGACGTTAGTAGAGGCCATATGGTCACTATCAACATCATCACTAACACACCGTTCGTAGTATTCTTTTGCGTGGCTGGCCCAAAGTTCCAAAAAAAAATCCCAAATCAAACGACATTTTTTAAAGTGTTTGTTCCGTTCAATAGCGTTAGTACACGTTAGTAGACGCCATATGGTCACTATCAACATCCACTAACGCAGAGAACGTGGTATTGTTTAAAGGGCGGCTGGGCCACGTTCCAAAAAGCAAATACTGATCAAAGAACACCAACGAAGTGTTTGTTCCGTCCAAAAGCGTTTTCACCA